ATCAGCCAGTGAATTCTCGAGAGTGTTTGGAGTCACTTGTTCAAAGTGTCCCAGTTGCTCGCCCAACAGCAGAGGCTGGAGGGAACAACTCATTGCAAGATATGAATTTATATAAATTCATATCAAACACTGCTGCGAGAAGATTCACCTTTCATGCCATGAGCGCATTAGCCAGTGATTGCTCGAGAGTGTTTGGAGTCACTTGTTCAAAGTGTATCAGTTGTTCGCCCAACAGCAGAGCCCGGAGGGAGCAACTCACTGCAAGATATGAATTCACATCAAACACTGCTGCGAGACGATTCACCTGTCATGCCAGGAGGGCATCAGCCAGTGAATGCTCGAAGAGTGTTTGGATTCACTTGTTCAAAGTGTATCAGTTGTTAGCCCGACAGCAGAGGCTGGAGGAAACAACTCATTGCAAGATATGAATTCATATCAAACAATGCTGCGTGACGATTCACCTTTCATGCCATGAGCGCATCAGCCAGTTAATGCTCGAGAGAGTTTGGTGTCACTTGCTCAAAGTTTATCAGTTGTTCGCCCGACAGCATAGGCTGGAGGGAACAACTCGATGCAAGATATGAATTCATATCAAACACTGCTGCGAGACGATTCACCTTTCATTTTTGGAACGCATCAGCCAGTGAATGCTCGGGAGTCACTTGTTACAAGTGTATCGGTATAAGTTGTTCGCCCAACAGCACAGGCTGGAGGGAACAACTAATTGCAAGAGATGAATACAGCAACAAATGCTATTTCTCCCAGGTGTGGTCATCATCAAGTGGGCACTGTGTTTTTCCGACTGTCCCTAGTTCAACACATGCTATTCTTCCCAAGAGTTGCGATCATCAAGAGGGCAACGAGTGGTGTCGGACTGCCTCGAATTCAACAGATGCTTTCCTTCCCAAGAGTGGAGATGTCATCAAGTGGGCAATGATTTGTTCGGACTGATTTCCACTAGTGCTATGGAGATCGTCGAGTCGGCAATGAGTTGTTTTGGACTGTCCCGAGTTCAACACATGCTATTGCTCTCAAGAGTGGATCATCAAATGGGCAATGATTTGTTTCGGACTGTCCCAAGTTCAACAAATGCTAATCCTCCCAAGAGTGGAGTTAACCAAGTGTTTGTTATGTTTAACGTTCTTCGATAAGGCTTTACGTTGCCCAAAGTTGAACTGATGGAGTTTGATGGAACTCCTTTGCATTTCCATGCCTTCGTGAAGTAATTCGAGATTAACATGCATCGCCCGAGATAAAGCTGGCGCAGCTGATTCCATTGCGTTCTGGCATTGCAAAGGATGCCTTCAAGAATTCTGTGCTAGTGTCACCACCAAGCAAAGGATATCAGATGGCTTGGCGAACCTTATATGAACAGTTTGGTAACCGAACTGTGGTTATCGAAGATACAATCAATGATTTAACAAATGGTTCCAAAATTATGGTCAATGGTACTAAAAGACTTTGTAAGTTGGCCACTTGCATGCGTAACTGTGAGCTGGTGATCAGCGAGTGGAATGCAAATTTGTTCATCGCTGGCTGTGAAAATCTTTAGGGCTTTTTCTCACGCTTACAACTGAGGTTTGTTAAGAATTGAGATGTTGAGAATTTTGTTGTTCCCATTGTGTGTGATTGTTGGGTCAATCATCGTCATTATCTGAAATAATTTTGTGAACAACATGATTGGGGTCGGTGTGTTGAGGATTATTGGTAGTTGTCTATTTCATTCCCATCTATTTATTCTGCTAGGTTACGCCTAGTGACGATAGAGTCAATTACCCATTTTTCTGTAGGAAAATCTTGGTTTATAGTGTCGCCACATATTGCTATTCTTATGTACATATTTCGGTGCTCCCGAAGTATGCGAACCAAGATGGCGGACATCGGAACGTAACATGGGTAACAGGTTAGGGTTAGGCCATAATGTTTTTCCAATTTTCCTAATTTTAGTCCTATTATCAGTTTGAAGACTAGCCAAGAGCCTCCCGTAGTATTTATACCTAAATTTATGGCCTAACCCTAACCTAGTACACATATTACATTCCGATGTCCGCCATCTTGGTTCGCATACTTCGGGAGCCCCCATATTTCGATGCAAATGCCACTGCACATTGGCGTTCGCATAGTATCTACACTATTTAGAATTGTGTGAGGTATAGGCTTATGATCCACTTTGAAGACTCTTAGTGTATTGAGTCAATAGTTTGTGATAGCAGTCTGGTGCACTTTCTTTATTGGCGCTTTATGCATATTGTGACAACCTGTTGTTGCGAAAGTCTCTTGGTACATCAGTGTTTGGTGAAAGAGCTGTGGTTATTTGTGTTGTAGATTTATTGTTAACTCATAGGGAAATTAGAATAGTATTTCATGCATATATGTGTTAGGATAGGAATTAAGTCATTAAGATTATACTTTAAAATGTTTTTCGTGCATTTATTTACATCTGTGCATCTAATCAATTAGGGTTTGGAAGAATTGTAGTCCAAACTACTGTCAAGTCTGTAACTAAGTACCTAAATTATATTTGTTGTAGTTGTCTTGGTAATTAACACTTGCACAGTAGTTTGTTTACCAAGCAATGGCTATCTGCCTATCCATGCTTGGGTTTCTTCTACTTTAAAAACAAGAGAGCTACGCACAAATATATGGACACGTTAGACCAGAGCGAATCAGTCCTTACCGGTACCTTTGACGCCACCGGTACCCTCAAAAAAGTTCTGAATTTCCAGTAGAAAGAATTTTGCAGAATCAAAACGTACAGCCAGTCATGACACTGACTAAAATCCGTGTTCCCATGGATAAAAAATAATACAGCAAAATTTTAGACGAAATATCAAATTTCATAGAATTCACGCAAAATTTTGAAATAAATAAAAGTAATAGCCTTCTAGCGAAAAAATTAATCTTTAACCACTGAAAATTTCAAAGCAATTGGTCCAGTATTCGAAGAGAAAAGCGACTTTTTAAAAACGTGTCAAAGAACAAGAACAACAACAACAACATAATATTGAAACGATCGTTATGTCCACTACGTGTCCAAAAAAACGAAATCCAACTCAAAGACTGGAACTTTGACGTGGTGCGTTGGCTTCTAACTAATACCAGTCGGCAGATTAATCCTTGGTACCTGAAGCTTTTGAGGTGGGTTGATTAAATGCCAAATGGTTCAACTTGGAGATGTAAATATGTATGTATGGTTTATGATTCTGAAAGGAACTTATATCATTGAATATTATTAGTTTGCTGCAAGCCACATTGCCTGTAGGCAAGCCTGGATTTCATGACCTTTTTGAACGAGAAATTGCGTGCAATCATAAATTCACGCGTCCATATCAGAATTCCTGGCGTACAATTATAGCTCACGACGTGCAATACAACTGCCCCTGCGTGCAACTCACTTTGACTTTAGATACTGTAGGGAATAGTAGTTATTTAGACAATATTTTTTACAGTAAAATGCGTTTAAACTTTATATTAGACCCGAAACTTTTTTCCAATTCGTCATAAACATTCGGCGTTAAATATTTGATTGCCCTGTTAATATAAATTGGCCTATTAAAACCAACCTAATTTGCCCTCAGGAACATGTTTGGCGGTGGAGAAAGTGCCCCCGCCCCCCAAGTGGTGAAAACGTGTAAAAAGCCACGCCCACTTAGGTAATATGGTTTTTGGGCGATTAGGAGCACTTGGAATTGGTTTTTGGGCAAAGTGATGCCTAAATCTCAAAGGGACTAATTAATAGAATATTTCACCACCTGAACTTTGGGAATTCCCCTTCCACGAAATGCTCCAGTGAGTTCGGAATAATGTGCGTTAAGAATAAAGATATTGAGGGAAAAAAATACATAGGTAGGTTGAGAAAAATTAGTTTAACACTTTTTTCAAGAAATTTTTTCTCCTATGCCTCCGTCACGGTCTAGTGATTTTGGTCTTTTGTCGGCTTCTGAGAGGTCTTATCAATAATCTAAAGGCATGGGCATGATTAGAAAAATTATTTCAATCACGTTTGAGCGGAATTTTTTTCCTAGTACTCTTCAGTCACGGTTCAGTGATTTTGGGCCATATCTCGAGAACGGTAATAGATAGGGGTCTCATATTTGGGTTATACAAGAAGGTATATGCTTAGAAAATTTCGTCATGGTTGAGTGATCACGGACCTTAAAATTGATAAAAATAGACTCCCGTCCATACAGATAAAATTGTTTACGTTAGGGGGGTCAATGGCGTCGTTCGGATCATGCCGCGATCCGTTCGACGCAACGGATAGCGGCCCGAACGTCTTAGACATCACCGACTTGGGAGTTGGGCCCAATCGACCATTTATGCGCCCACGACCCCCTCGTCGTGTGCCGCAGGCAGACGTCTAGCTGGATGTCGGCCCCTTTTTAATCGTGTTTGCTATTATTTCTGTTTTAAGTGGAAAGGTTGCCGTACAATAAACAATCAATTCGCAATCTTTTCATTCATTCCAAGCAAGTTGATATAATAAAAATTTAATAAAGTTTCATAGGATATTTTGAATAATCAATTCCTCATAGACTCCCTTGTCAGCCATCAAAAAAGAATATTCAATGGTTTACTCTGCATAGTTTAATTAAGTTTAAAATATTTTAATATATTGGCTCTTCACTAAATGTGAAGCAAACAACTGGTTATAATACAAGAGAGCAATGCTCAAATATATGGACACGTAGACCAGAGCAAAGCAGTAGTCCACCTTACCTTTGACGGTATCGGTACCCTCAAAAAATTTCCGAATTTCGCGTATCAAGAATTGCAGAATCAAAACGGACAGCCAGTCATCACGCGGAATAAAATTAGTGTTCCCATTGATAAAAATATTACAGCGAAATTTTGAACAAAATATCAGAATTCATACGTAAAGTGAAAAAATAAATAAAGGCAATAGCCTTCTGGAATAAAAACAACCAGAGAAAGCGGTTTTTTAATATCGATGGAATTATGTGTCAAAGAACAACAACAACATAATAATACCAAAACGATCCATAGGTCCACTGCGTGTCCAATAACATGAATCATTTATGCGTCAGGATTAAGATATCTCCCAACAAATAATATGGTATTGGTAGGTTTGTGCTTTATGAAAAATAAGAATGGATGATCACATGTAAACTTGTGTGTTGGTGGAATATATTTACGAAACGTTTTAGTACAACCAGTTGCCGTAGCTGCTGCTGCTTCAGTTCCTTCTTCATTAACATCGACGAAGGCTTTATGTACAATCGCCGACACATAAAGATCTTTTTTACCTGTAAAATATTAGTCATATGTTATGATTCAAAGTGGTGACATATTATCTGAAACTTAAATTCCAAATTGGATGTATAAAAAGGTAAAAGTCCGTTTTTCCCGAACTGGCAGTTTTTGTTTCAATATAGTAAAATGTGAGCTCTAGAAGTATGTGCACCAAGATGGCGCACATCCTGAACATAATATGTGTACTGTACCAGGTTAGGGTTCAGGTTGTGCGCCATTTAGGTGCTCATACTTGGGGAGCGGTAAAGTGATAATATATTATCTAGGAAATATATTTCAATTTGGAAGAAATAGATGGTGGCATTGTTGCAGTTTTTCGGCTTCTTGGCCGATGGTTTTTTTTCTACGCCGACGACGCAGTTGGTTTTCCGTGTACCGATATCCAAAATCAAACGTCTTTCCCCATTTTGATTACTGATTGCTATACTGACCTAATTATTTTCATTTGGCTTGTATTTGTATATATAAAAAATTGGAGTTCCATAAGTATGTGTACCAAGATGGCACACAACCTGAACATAGTATGTGTACCAGGTTATGGTTCAGGTTGTGCGCCATCTCGGAGCTCATACTTTGAGAGCGTCAAGAAATCTCATTGGGCACAACAACCTTAGTAATATGTGAAATTGTAAAATAATAATCAGAAAAGTCCAAAACGCTTTGATCAACTATTTCAGATATTGCAAATATTTTTTTTAAACTTTATTTATATTTACATGAGCACTTGGTCTGATGACACTTTCGTTGAAATTTCAACATTTTCTTTTTCCTAAATAGGAAAAGCTTAATATAAGCACCCAATTGTTCAGACGGATAGGAGCTGGAAACCTGGCAAAACCGGGCAGAATTGTTTGCAACGGTAGTGCGCATTAAAGAGAAAAGAGTAGGATTAACATATTTATCCTGAGGGAGAAGAAAGTCGATAAGACGGCTTTATCATATGGCGAATTACAGACTCTTGTCCAGTTCGGGTATGGGATTAATTAGCCAGTTATGTGTTTTCGGAAGCATCGACTTGATGGTAGAGGTAGCCGTAACCGACCAGTGATTACGTGAACCACCCTACGGCGGCGAGGAGTCCAGCAATCTATTCGCACATAACCTTCCCCGTGAGTGTATTCCTAACGCTTAGCACGATGCGCCACACCGCCGAGCCATCAGGAAAAATTCAAAAGCATTGGATTAAAACAGTGCTCTTCAACCTTTTTTATCGAAGTATACCTTTTACAGTTTTTCAAGAACTTTGTATACTTTACAATTACCAATGTTTATTTAAGGCTCAAATAAACAATAAATTTTAAGCACATATTCTTCTGCAATATCATCATGCAATCTAATAGGCTAGTGACCGCAAGTTATAAAGTTGACTGACTGCCTTAGGGTCGACGGAAATAATGTTTGACGTAAATCAAACAAAGTGCATGGCAGCCGAAATCACCAACCCAGACACATGACCGTATTATCTATATAATTTGTGATGTAACAACGTGCTCACGTCGGTTCTTAGCGTTGATAACATTTTATATTTCATGTGCGCCGCGTTTGCATTGTTGTCTCCAATTGAATATTTTATATATATATAGTAGATTAGGCTATACACCTTTCGTATACCCTTTATCAGTTGTATACCCAACTTATGGTCTGGTATACACTTGGGTATACCGAATACCCAGTTGAAGAGCACTGGTTTAGAAACCTGCAAACTATTGCAAATGCCATTATCCAGCAATAGTGATAATACGAGTCGATTTCTTAACTCATAACATACAATAAAAATTAGTTTTCGAAATCTCAAATATATTGAGTTTATCCAACCTCAACCGAAGCACTGGGATATACAGATATTAAGAATTCAGATGATAAACAATGCATTTTTTTGTATAATTAGATACTTTTGAGTGGAATATATATTTCATTCATTTTGGTTCGCCTACTTTACATCAAGTTGTGTAAAGGGACTGCAACCAATGGGCAGGGGGATATTCACGTAGCTAACACGGGCAGTCGCTGAACTCGTAATAGAATTAAAATAAAGAAAATTGGAATAACATTATGGCCTAACCCTAACATGGTACACACACTACGGGAGTACCAAAAATATAGTAGCCTACTAGCATACATCTGTTCAATATTATTCCAGAATGTACAGAGCCGCATAATGAATGTGATAATAAAAAATCTCTTACATGAAATTTTACTGAAGTTGGCATCAGATCCAAAAATACTTCTTGCTCCGAGACCTTTGAATGATTCGACAAGGTCACTGCTGTACTCAATTTTAAATCTTGGCAAACTAAGAACAACTTCTTTTTTGGAATATTTTTTTTCTATTTTGTTGAGCTGTTTTGCAGAAAATTTCTTCTCAATTGCCTTCAGGCCAAATTTTTTTGATGGAAGAACAATAACCATCGATGTTGCTCCACCATTATGGGGAATTTCCAGCATCTGCAATTTGAGATCTTTATCGCGAGCAAATTGATAATAATCCTTTCTCACCATGAATTCCACTTCAACAACTTTCCGTGGTGTGACATGAAAATCTTTTTTCATGTTATTCATTCGGTTAAACGTCGTTTGCCAGTTTCCTTTGAAGTATAAAGCGTTGGCCAAAACAAGGCGGGTGTCTTCAGTTATGGTGCCTGGTTGCAGCAGATCATTGATCTTGTTTTTGGTAACTTCTGAGACCCATTTATTAATAGCTAATCTGGCATCCTTCCTATTTTGAATAAAGTCTTTGGGCTCTATATCGGTCTGGAGCACTTCTTTAAGCAGAGTCAAAAATTCCTTCTTAATTTCGAATGAAGTCTCTGAGTAAAGTTTGTTTGCAATGCATAGTTCTATGCCTTCGATAGCTTGTAAAATGGAACTGCTTGTTTGTCGTAAATGTTCTGGGATATCACTGACGTTCTTCAAGCACAAAGCTTTTTTTAGTTCAATCTCACTTTCTTCGGCGCTACCCAAAAGCAAACCGCTGACTGCTGAAAACACGCTGAACGGGGAGAAAAACACATTTTTGTCGGCATTATTGCTGGCTTTCAGAAGCTGACCAAGTAGAGCAAATGCAAACTTATTGGTAGCACTATGTGTGGGTTCCTGGCAGGACTGCCTCTTTTGTCTGAATGAAAACATCTAGTTCGACCTCAAAAAATAAATCTAAAATGAAAAACAGAACATTTAAAAAAATATATATATGAATATAAAGGGGTCTGGTATTGCTTAGCACCACAAGTTCTTCTAGTTGGCCTGGCCTAATAATTTTTTATTATGTCATTCCTGACCCCACCATCTGACTACGTCATTCAAAAATTACGTCACTACGACGTAATATTCACGACGTGATGTAATATTTATCTTCAAAATCTGCGGCCGTCGCCCAAGACGCGCGGACGATCTCATAGAATCTAACAAGATATATCGTACGCAACGAGGACGAGGTAACGAGCTCTACCATGACTCAAAATGAACAAGACCTATCGGCCACGATCAAATTTGAATATACAACGGCGGACGAACAGCGGTTCCCCCCAATATAACGAAGAGTGGTAGTATAATACCACACATTTTTTAAAAGCGAACAAGGTTAGCACAAACGTAAACGGCAGATGGGTAGGCCTATAGCTTTGTAACACGAGTATTTTTAGTGGTCATAGGCTAACCATTTTTACATATTTTATTCTATATCCTGGCGTGACTACGCCTTCCAAAAATTGCGCCACCCTGACGTTCCAATTGCACAATAAAGTCGATTGAAATATGAAGACACTGAAACAGGATATTATGTTGAGTCATATGTTGCAATCAGCAGTACCACACACATTTCTCATAAATCGTTTTACGTTTTTACTTGGACCAAGCTCCAGACAAGCTTAAACTGCAGAAGAACAGCGTTTCCTACCAATTACTTCAAGGGACACACATTTCCCAAGAAGTGTCTTTTAAAAAAGATAAACGGCAGACAGTACGTTAGTGGCCGTAGTCTAATCATTTTTATATATTTTGTTCTAGATATCCACGTGACTACGTATAATAGAAAGTTTCTTTGCAAACTCCCAAAATGCACACCAAATCGCCGACTAAGGAATATCCAAACATTTATAAATGTGGACAAGTGTATTCAAAATGAAATAATTCGAAACCAGTTACAATGTACTTGCTGTAACTGAATAATTCTGATTAAACACATTGGTCTTCAACAATAATTGCACACATCCTGACTGTTTTTATTGGTGTCCAAATTCTGAGAATATGAAACCTTTTTGTATCTTTTTCGCGCACATAGCTTGATATTTTTTCCACTATTTAAGACTGAATCTGAAACAGGATCTCTTATCTACTAATTTTCCAATGATATATTTTAGGTATTTAAGTCGGCAGAACCGTACGGTACTCGCCGCCGATAACAGTATTTCTATAATTGAATTACTTGATCTTTTTAACCAAATATCCGAACCTTGGGTGTCGATGCTCGATAGCCCGATTTAGTTCCCCGCGACTTCCCTTCCAAAGTAAAGTTGTATGATTACTATATTTTTGAATAAAAATAACGAATAGTCAGCTAAAATAAATACCATAATTCCCACGTGTTATCCGCGCATAAATATAATGTGCGGTCCAGTAACAACGTCTTTACCTGTAACCGGCCCATTCAGGAAAATTATTGCCTACCACAGGCCTGCACAACATACGGCCCGCGGGCCGCATGCGGCCCGCTAGATACTTCTGTGTGACCCGCGGGTGATTTGGAAACACGCCACTTCCCGGGTCTAACAATCAAAGCCAGCATTGTTATGCAAGCGCGACGCTATATCATATTCGAAATCGTGAGATTTATGTTTTGCACCAGTTTCAATAAATATCGAACTTTGTGTGAAATTATTGTGCCCTTCTCGACCCCTAAAATTCGTCGCTCGACTCCTCGCCCCCCCAGTTTGGGAAACCCTGATTTAGATATCTCAGTATTCAGACTGAATCACGCTTAAAACAATATCGGTATACAATCTCACACCCATTAGTGCATATTAGCTACCTCTTAATAACCCCATTATTTTTTTACTAGCAGTTTATGAAGCTGAAGTTTCTTTTTTGTGGCAAAGTTTGCGGCCCGCCGGGCCTTCAAATTTATGCTTGCGGCCCTCGTGGTAATTTGAGTTGTGCAGGCCTGGGCCCTACCATGTCTTAGTGTCATAAGGATAAATAAACAGTAAAGCCTTCAATCGAAGAATTATGGACAAAATGCAGCAACAATACACTCATTGAAAGTGTATAAATAACTTCCTGATTGAAATTTTGACGGTTTATTAAAAAGAGAAACGTAGGGGGGTTCAAAATTTAGGGGTGAAAAATATTTTGCTATTGGCGATAAAAATGTGTAATGTATTTGACAGGTTGTCCACACTGATGAATATTCCATTTTTTAAATATTCAAATACAATTATACTTAAGTTAGGTATCAAAGTATGGTATCACGGCTCAAAACTAGGGAGTGTTAGAAATTTTAGGGGGTGTCAAAGCCCTATATGGGAGGGGGAGGGGAATCACTCATCGAAAACCACCCTGGACCCTTCGTGTGCCTACGGCGCACATTATGTTTGGTCGCCGTTTAGGAACATACCGTCACTAAAATCGAAACACGGTTAATTGTGGGTGGGATTTGCCTTTTATTCTTTACTTCAAAATTATCGAAGAAAATTTTCGTGTTATCATTAAACAAGGTTGAAAACGCGATTTTTTTTCCCGGTTTGTGATGACATATAAGATAATTAATCCGAAGTATATCCATCAATTTTTATTGTACTGAAATAAATTTTACTCCATGAGAATTTACAGCAGATTTACGGATTTTTCAGGAGGTTTTATCTTTAAAAATAATCGGAGTGTCAGCATTGCGATTGAACGGAGTCAATGTTACAAGCACATCTCAAATTTGTCGAATTTGCAAAATAGTAAAAATACGGATCAAAACAATATATGATAGGCGACGGGCAGTTACCACAAATTTTTATGTCGGCAACTGGCCGAGGTATTTTAAAATTGTGAATTGTAAAAATTGTTTTATTTTGTCGACGCAAACGCTGGTTAAATTGAAGACAATTGAATTAATAAAGCGAGACATTTCAAATATGCCCTTATAGGTCACGAATTGATTACTTTGCACAACAGAAAAATCATGTTTCGTTGTAAACGTCGGCTCTTTTAACAAGTGGCGTAATCGCGGCGATGAATATGTATTTTTGACTAAACGATATACTTCATATGCATTTTCATTGTAAGAAATAAAATTGTACTTTTTGGGATTTTATATCAGTTATTGAGAATTTTCCAACGGTGATAACGAGTTGTCAAGATTCCAAAAATACGTATTAAAATTAAATACCCCGTTTGTCTCATATTTTTATGTCGACCGATCGCCGTGGCATTTCAGAGAACTAATGTTTCAATTTTGACGTAAGAAGAAGCAACCGCGAGTTACGTTGAACACAATTAAACTAATATATAAAGACATTTTGTAGTTGTCAGAGATTGAATATTTCACGCGACAAGAATAGTCATTATACGCTGAAAAGACGTCCCTTTAACGAGCGCGTAATGCGAAGACTGTTACATACCGCAATGGGAATTTATGATTATGAACCCCCCCCCCCCCTTCATTTTCAAATTTTACAAAAATTCATGTTTTTATTAAAATATCTTTACGCCACCGGGTGACAGAATGTGTTTAATATTTAACTTATGACGTCGCAATCCGAAAACAACCCATATTCAGCGCCATCTGAAAGTGTGACGGCAGCATGGTGATTTTGAAGGAGTGCGGTGAAAATTGGCAAGTGGCGATAATAGGGTAACGTACGTTACTATTCTGAATACATTTCTAATTACCGGTATATTTTTATTACTGTAACTGTGTCATATTTAACAAGGAACACATGGGTAAGTGTTTTCAATGAGTTTGCTTTTGAAAATTAATAAGATGATGATTTAGAAATTAAGAAGACTTTTTTATTCAGAAGAAGCCCTTTTCATTATGGTCTGCACAAGCAGCCACATACATGAGAAACTACTATCTTTGGACAAAATTTTTGTTGTACCTTTGGTGAGGAGTTGGCCATAGGGTTCAGCTGCAGAAATTTACATGCATGACAGAATAGTTTAGTCCAGAAGTCTAGGGTGGTGTAGCCAGTCTGCGGACGATTTCATTCAAACCACTATAAAACAAAAACCAATATTTCTAACCCCTTAATTTTTTCACCGTAGGTGCATTGGCATTTATTCTACACGCTGAACTTCGAAATAACTTTCTACGACCAGGGGTTAAAGCTATACAAACCACCAAAGTACGACACTCTGAAGACGTATTTGCGACCGAACGACCAGTGTGCGACCACGGATTTTAAGCCTTGAACATCGTTTCTGCTGCGTCGAGACTAGGGCATACGCAGCCATGCGTGAAAAAAAGGGCTTCTAATTGCATTTCTGACCGTCATATATTTTAAGAACACGATTATTTCAAACAAAATTCTTCAAATTATAAACAAAGCACCGCATCACAGCAATCAAACAGACAAAAACACGGTGGTCGCAAATTAGTTGACAAAGATATTATTGACGTATTGGAAATGCGCACCCCCCTACTCCCCCTCCTTTGAAGATAGAAACGCGAAACTTTAAAGATGGGTAAAAGAAACACAACTCTACCCACCTGCCAAGTTTCATCTCTTTATCTCTTATATTTGTATGGATTTTCAAGCTTTTTTGAAGGAACAATGGGTAGTTGGCGACATGGTAAAATGGTCCGTTTTTTTTCTTCGGTCAGGTTTTCGGTCATAACTTTTTTATTTGTGGCCGCATTTTAGTGTAATTTCGTAGAGCTACGAGGGATAAGTGGACGATAACGCGTGAGAAATATCGGCGCGTTTCGTTAATTTTTTCGGCATTAATTTAATCGATGAAGTTGATGGTCGCAGATAGGTCATGGCCGCAAAGTGGGTAAGCCACCCTATAACCACCAGGCTAGGGCTACTCAACTAATTTTACCGATGATCCGCATACAAAACTTCAAAATTATTTGGGTCCGGTGTTTCCAGAAATTTTATTTCGGCATCCGTAAACGCGCACTTCCTCGGCCAGCTAATGATTATCAGCAAATCAATATTATTTAGTATGGCGTTATAGTTCGTTTCATAGATATTCAAAACAATAAAAGTCCTTTTATAAAATGAAACTGTAAAAGTAGGGCTAATGATCCAAAATAAAAAACTAGGTGCGGTCCGAAGCAAATACTCGAAAGTTCCGGATTCGGACTGCGGTCCGCCAGTTGAGTAGTCCTGCACTAGGCCATCTAGCTTCTTTGGAGCAAAAATTGTGTGTTGTCAAAAAATAAAAAAAAAAACATACTGAAAAGGGCGCTCCCGAAGTATGTGCACCAAGATGGCGCACTACCTGAACCCTAACCTGGTACACATACTATGTTCAGGTTGTCTGCCATCTTGATGCATATACTTCTGGAGGTCCCTAAAAAGACCACAAACAGTAATATTTGGGCACACGTAAGAAACCTGGCAAATGATAGTTTTGCACCAGGCACAGGGAGTGTTGCTATAACAACCAGCTTCAAATTTCGCCGACACCAGTAGAAATATTCAATGACTGGAGTCAGATAGCAATTTGTAGACAATAAGAAATTGAATGAAGCCTTTTTTGGCTTACTATGAGGCTAAATTCTCAAAATAATAACGGAATCACGTCGGATATAATAAATTTTCTTTTTTTTTTGTCAATTTGAATATTTGTAAACTTGATTGGGACTGTAAAATGAGAATCATGGCTCGATTCCAAGGTCTTATCTTTTATCAGCTATTTTCATTTTTTTTTAAGAAAATTTGAGTATTCACTCTGAAACAATGAATCCACTAAATCGCCAAGAGATTCTTCGGCATCATAAAATCATTATGTAGAATTAAGCCTTAGCAAAGGATAATTAATGCAAGATTTAAACCGATTCAATTTAGCATAACAGTTATTAGTGAAATACGAAATTTGCTTTCTATCTATTTCTATTATTCAGTTGTTTTTTTCTCAAAGACGAACTCGCATACCAGTAAGATGATGTATGTCTCTGTATTTAGTCCCACGAGATTTAAACATAAGTTTATAGCACCTGCTGTCTCAAGATTTTTACTTTGATTTCCAGATATTGATTTGATGCTTCATTGTATAATTTGTTGAACACTGGCCATGTTAATAATATTATGATTAAGTTTTAGTTTATTTTCTCAGGGGGTTTAAAATAATTTATTCAAAAAACTCAAATTTGAGTTTTTCGATTTATGAAATTTGGTTGGCCATACTCTTACACCGCTTAGCGCATTCACGATTTCCTGCAACTTTGTTCTCAGTGCTCTTTCTGCTTATATTTGAAACTCACAATTTTACATCTTACTGTTTTTGCTTTCAAAATACATTTCATTGGATAGGATAGGATTTACCGTATTTACTCGAAATTACGCCTATATCGCGAATAGGCAGACTCCTTAAAAACAGCCTTAAAACAGCGATTTTATAAAAAATCGCACATAAGCCGGTCCTACGAATCGTGACACGCCAGACGCCTCAAGAAAAACGTAGATAGAGAACAAAATTACTGTAACGCAAACTTTATATTTTAGTCGGGAACCTACCGTGATTTAATTAACGTAATATTGTTTTTCTTCAAACAGGATGGAAAATCAAAAAGTAAATCGAAAAAGAGGAAAAGTCAAACTCAATCAAGTAAAATTGAAAATACAACAATTGAATCTCAACCCATGGATGCTATGTTTGATTGTGAGTTTTTATTTCTAATCCAGGAGTCTTCAGAAATATCTGAAATAATGAGTTGAGTGTAGAAATTTTGAAAGGATTTAGCTTAAACAGAATTGCAATTTACCGTAGGTGTAGAGAATTGGAAATTGATTTTAGGAAACTATTTCATCTCTGTTAGGCAAGTAGTCTTGGATTATCTTGAATTTTGAACACATTTCATTTGTTTGAACTTCAATGTCTATGTCAGGTTCATGAGCAAAAGAAATCAAATTACTTCCTGCCTTCTTTCTGAACTAGGGTCTGCAAGCGCAGCCACATTCATGACAAGCTACCATTTTTGGAAAACCAAAATCTTTCCTGTTCAGCAGTGTATTTAACGCAAGCCGATTTAGTTCACTTATGTTTGTGGCTTTTCGTTTAATTAAAAGTTTTTTTGGAGCAAAAATTGTGTGTTGTCGAAAAATAGGTAACATACTACTAAAAAGACCACAAACAGAGTAATATTTGTGCACACGTAAGAAACCTGGCAAATGATAGTTTTGCACCAGGCACAGGGAGTGTTGCTATAACAACCAGCTTCAAATTTCGCCGACACCAGTAGAAATATTCAATGACTGGAGTCAGATAGCAATTTGTGGACAATTTAGGAAATAGAATATATAAAAAATGGCACAGAAAAAATGTTAATAATATTTGAATACTTGTGATTATTTTTAGATAATGATTGCAGTTAATTTTGTTACTTAGCTGTCATTTCTTAATTAATAAGATAGTACTCTCTATTTTGAAGTAGATTGACTAAAAAAGAAGTAAAACTAGTTGGCACAAATTTATCTCTTACTCGAAATAATCAGAATATGGCATCTTACTGTTTTTGCTTTCAAAATACATTTCATTGGATAGGATAGGATTTACCGTATTTACTCGAAATTATGCCTATATCGCGAATAGGCCGACTCCCTAGAAAGGGCCTTTAACGGCGATTTTATAAAAAATCGCACATAAGCCGGTCCTACGAATCGTGACACGCCAGACGCCTCAAGAAAAACGTAGAAAGAGAACAAATTACTGTAACGCAAACTTTATATTTTAGTCTCGAACCTACCGTGATTTAATTAACGTAATATTGTTTTTCTTCAAACAGGATGGAAAATCAAAAAGTAAATCGTAAAAGAAGAAAAGTCAAACTCAATATCAAGTAAAATTGAAAATACAATGATTGAATCTCAACCTATGGATGCTATGTTTGATTGTGAGTTTTTATTTCTTATCTAGGAGTCTTCAGAAATATCTGAAATAATGAGTTGACTGTAAAAATTTTGAAAGGATTTAGCTTATACAGAATTGCAATTTACCGTAGGTGTCGAGAATTGGAAATTGATTTTAGGAAACTATTTCATTGCTGTTAGGCAACTAATCTTGGATTATCTTGAATTTTGAACACATTTCATTTGTTTGAACTTCAATGTCTATGTCAGGTTCATAAGCAAAAGAAATCAAATTACTTCCTGCCTTCTTTCTGAACTAGGGTCTGCAAGCGTAGCCATATTCATGACAAGCTACCATTTTTAGAAAACCAAAATCTTTCTTGTTCAGCATTGTGTTTAACGCAAGGCGATTTAGTCCACTTATGTTTGTGGCTTTTCGTTTAATTAAAAGTTTTTTCGGATCAAAAATTGTGTGTTGTCGAAAAATAGATAACATGCTACTAAAAAGACCACAGACAGAGTAATATTTGTGCACACGTAAGAAACCTGGCAAATGATAGTTTTGCATCAGGCACAGGGAGTGTTGCTATAACAACCAGCTTCAAATTTCGCCGACACCAGTAGAAATATTCAATGACTGGAGTCAGATAGCAATTTGTGGACAATTAAAAAACAGGATAGATGAGTAATTGCACAGAAAAAATGTTAATAATATTTGAATACTTGTGATTGTTTTTAGATAATGATTGCAGTTAATTTTGTTACTTAGCTGTCATTTCTTAATTAATAAGATAGTACTCTCTATTTTGAAGTAGATTGACTAAAAAAGAAGTAAAACTAGTTGGCACAAATTTATCTCTCACTCGAAATAATCAGAATATGGCATCTTACTGTTTTTGCTTTCAAAATACATTCCATTGGATAGGATAGAATTTACCATATTTACTCGAAATTACGCCCATATCGCGAATAGGCCGACTCCCTAAAAACGGCCTTAAAACGGTGATTTTATAAAAATTCGCACATAAGCCGGTCCTACGAATCGTGACACGCCAGACGAATCAAGAAAAACGTAGAAAGAGAACAAAATTACTGTAACGCAAACTTTATATTTTAGTCTGGAACCTACCGTAATTTAATTACCGTAATATTGTTTTTCTTCAAACAGGATGGAAAATCAAAAAGTAAATCGAAAAAGAAGAAAAGTCAAACTCAATCAAGTAAAATTGAAAATACAACGATTGAATCTCAACCTATGGATGCTATGTTTGATTGTGAGTTTGCATTTCTAATCCAGGAGTCTTCAGAAATATCTGAAATAATGAGTTGACTGTAGAAATTTTGAAAGAATTTAGCTTATACAGAATTGCAATTTACCGTAGGTGTCGAGAATTGGAAATTGATTTTAGGAAACTATTTCATCGCTGTTTGGCGACTAGTCTTGGATTCTCTCGAATTTTGAACACATTTCATTTGTTTGAACTTCAATGTCTATGTCAGGTTCATAAGCAAAAGAAATCAAATTACTTCCTGCCTTCTTTCTGAACTAGGGTCTGCAAGCGCAGCCACATTCATGACAAGCTACCATTTTTGGAAAACCAAAATCTTTCTTGTTCAGCATTGTGTTTAACGCAAGCCGATTTAGTCCACTTATGTTTGTGGCTTTTCATTTAATTAAAAGTTTTTTCGGATCAAAAATTGTGTGTTGTCGAAAAATAGGTAACATGCTACTAAAAAGACCACAAACAGAGTAATATTTGTGCACACGTAAGAAACCTGGCAAATGATAGTTTTGCATCAGGCACAGGGAGTGTTGCTATAACAACCAGCTTCAAATTTCGCCGACACCAGTAGAAATAATCAATGACTGGAGTCAGATAGCAATTTGTGGACAATTTAGGGAATAGTATAGATGAGTAATTGCACAGAAAAAATGTTATTAATATTTGAATATCTTGAAATTCTCTTTTAGATAATGATTGCAGTTAATTTTGTTACTTAGCTGTCATTTTTTGAGTAAAATAGTATTCTCTATTTTGAAGTGGATTGATTACAATAGAATTAAAACTATTAGTCACAAATTTATCTCTTACTGGAAATAATCAGAATATGGTACCTTAATATATTTGCTTTCATTGGATAGGATAGGATTTACATATTTATCCAGGGGAAGAGGTAAACTGATAAGAAAACTTAATCACATGGCGAACCACAGCCTCTCGTCCAGTTACCAGTATATATCGCGTATGGAATTAGTTGGCCAGTCATTCGTTTTCGGAAGCGTGGACTTTGATTAATATTGATTGATAATTGATAAATACACTTCATTCTCCTCACTCTACAGCCGGTGAATGGAAAACCGTTAGTACGAAGGAACAGCGAGAGCGACAGAAGCGAGAGAAACGTAAATTGCAAGCAGATGTTGCTGTTGCCGTGGAAACCGCAGACAAAGCTAGTCTCGTACCTCTTGTCCAGCCTGTTTATAAACCGACACCTAATATATCTGCAATTGCTAAAGGTTCGAAATTTTGAAAGATAAATTTATCTATTGATAAGAAAGGATCTATGCTAGAACTTAACATTAATAGACTTCTAAATGCTCTGCGGAGCTCTTAAAATTAAAACTATGTTTTTACATTTGTCACTGCAAGTGCTTGCAGAAAGATCAAACTTTTTCGTACGACACACCGCACAGGGGTGAAGTTGGATTTTATTAACAGTTCGACATCAAATCAGTTTGAAAAGTCTCTTCTCACGTATAAACAAATATCTGTACACACATGAGCTTTTAGATCCATTTAGAGCAGAGTGGTTCTTAAACGGTTAGACAAAGAGGGGGCTTGAATGTAATTGAAAATAAAAGGAAAAAAGTTCTATAGGATCCTTTTTCACTTTAACGTTTTGTGTGATAACATCAAAATTAAAATCCGCGCACCGTGCGGGAGTTCGCGATCACTTTTGAGCGATCGGATAGTTAGCGAAGTCAGGAACCGGTACCGGGAATGCTAAAGGTTCAATATTACTTATTTTGGCTCTCGTACCCATGTATTTAAGCATTGTTCTTTTGCATAAATTATTCTAATTCGATATTTTCTTCTTATCTTTTTAGTCCTGCTGGTTACGACACCCTGTTTGCAATGAGTAGAAGAAGCATTGAAAATCCCGATACCAATCTGACAACTGTGAAAGAGAATTCGAAATCAAGTATGTTTTTTTTTGTTTCGAAATTTGAAGTGGCGTATTATAGTAACATAACCATCCGTTAAAATATTGGATGTATGAAACATTTTAGTCTCACTTTAGTTTACTTTTATTTGTTCCCTCCTTTTCCTAATAACTAAATATACCTATTTAACCCTTTCCATGCGATTTTTATTTTTTATAAAATAATTGTATTTGCTACGCCGACTTTATGCATTTGTACCCCCACAATTAATCAATCGACTAACGAAAAAGTAATGATCCTCTGCTGCCCACTGACGGCTCGTTGGAAAGCTTATTTAAAGAGCTTGCAATTGGCGATTGAAAAAAAAAAAAATTTTCAAAAGGGGTGGTCTGAGTCACAAACCGGATAGAAAAAAGGCATTTTTTTTCTGGGTGTTGAAACTTCAAACCGTGATAAAAAATAGAAATATTCGCTAAATCCTTTACTGTTACCGCTTCTTGGTTGGCAAACAATAGCATAATATTGCTGTAGCAATTTTGTTATCTAACTCAAAATACTTTGGTAGATGGAAGGGATAATATGTCTTCTATTACCACCCAAAAAACACCGAAATTTGCATAAAGTTCATAAACACTCCCTCGTTCCGTCGCAAATAAAATTCCCATGGTAAACGAAAGCGAGATTTACCGTTGCTTATGTTAATCTCGAAGAAGACTTCTTATCAATAAACTAAAACCCGGAAAAACTAGACCAACAGTTTGCGACCGATTGCTAAATAAAACAGTGAAGTACATCAACGTACCCGCCGCAATCTAGCGAGTTTTGTCGTGGGTACGTATACGTGCCCACCGCACGGAAAGGGTTAAATTAGGTTTAGTCTGATTCATATGTGTGCATTTTGATTGAAATTAGAATACCGTGTGAATGACATGTTTTTCTGCCGCACTTGTAGAGAAAAAAAATTATTCCAAGATCTGCTTGGTTTACTTTTTTTTGTTCTTCAAGTAGAAATGAGAAAAACTACAGTAAAAGATTTGGCGCACCGGATTATTCGTAGCAAGATGACGCACAACCTGAAAAATCGTAACCTGGTACACATACTATATTCAGGTTGTGCGCCATCTTGGCACGAATACTCCGGGAGCACCAAAGATTTAATTTTCTTCTTAGAAGCCATTGTCGATGGAGCTGTTGGAGAGACATGGTCGATGGAGGTTCAACAAAATTTAGTTGAAGAAATTGAATGTTGCTTGATGGTAGGAAGGAAATCCAAAGCAAACTTTTGCTTACGCACTCTTAAATTAATGATGACGTCACCGAGTGGGCCATGTACGGATGACGTCATGAAAACATGTGACGATTACGTAGATAGCTCATCTTATATTAGAGCTTTAATCTTACTACAATGTGTTTCAAATTTGTATAAAATTGATGCTGATCCGACCAAGGCGATCCGAGGAATCAATGAGTGCAATCACAAAATTATGCAAATTATTGGAAGACTAGTACAGCAAGGCGGAAGCATGTTACCAATAGCTAGGAGTTTTGGAATTGGGTGTATTAAGGAACTTCTGTATGACTTGAGAAGTATCACTGGGATAGATGTATCTATCAAAGTACTTTATGAAGCATGTAGGAGATGATGCGATGATGTAGGAGAATATAAAAAAGCGATTGAATTTTTTTAAAGAAGGAATGAATATACTTAGCGAACAGTTTAAATCCGATGCCAACAAATATAGAGTGTTTGGAGATTTGCATAATAATTTTGGAATCTCATTATAACATTGGAAACAGCGAAGAAGCCAAAAAATTCTATTTAATAGCCTTAGAATGTTACAAAGAAGCTAACGATTGGAAGAATGTTGATATAAAAGAGGAAGAAATAAGTTGAAAATGGTAGAGGAACTCGTTGGAAAGAAAAATGCCTAAGAACCATACGGATATATAATGTCAAGTAGTTTGAATATTCGATTCGAAATGCCCAGCCTTAATTATGAGTTCGGGAACTGTCTGTGTTTGCCAAGTGAATATATCCTCTGCCCATAAGTTTCAGTCCCTTTACCCAACTTGATGTAAAGTAGGCGAACAAAATTAGTCACCACCATATTGGCACACATAATTCTGGAGGTTAATTTTTTCCATGTGCTGAGATTGGGTAAAGCAGTGATTTCCAATCTTTTTCGTTGAATTCCTCCCTTCGCGTATTTTAGAATTCTGTTTCCCCCTCACTATGCATGAGAAACTACTTTATTTGTTTATATTCAAAGCTCTTTATCTGGTGTTATGCACGAATCGCGCTTCCGCTTTTTTACAGTTTACGGTGAGTAGTTTTTGATATGTGCACAATTGAGTATTATAGTAATAACAAAGAACTGAAGTTAGGAATACTGCAGCAAATGCAAAATTCCTTCCCAAAAAGGACGGAGTCCTCTCCCGGTTGGGGAAACGTAGTCACAAAGAGTTTTAATTCATAGTTGGAAACGAAGAGAATCCAAGGATATTTTTGCTAAACTGTTGAGGTGTTGTGCTTTTATCCGCTGTTAATGGACCAACCAATTTTAGTTACTTAAAATATGTAAGAGTCCTTGAAAGCGATCAAGATATATTTCTTTCAATTTATCCTTGAGTCCTAGAGCATCCGATATATATTTTCATTATATATATATATATATCAATAAAAAGCACTTCGCATTGAACACATTTCAAATATTGCAAATGCAAAAACAAATATTAATCACGAATCAATAATGAACCGTACGATATTTTACTAAAAATTATTCTCACTCTATATGACTTACGGTAAATCCACTCTTTCATGCGGCATTCGGTATCACTCTTTTGTAACTTAACTCTTATTCCTGATACAGGATCGCGTTTGTCGTTTCACCATCATGTATATGCATTTGAGCATTGCTCTCTTCTTTATATTGTAATTTAATTGCAGTACTGACTCATGTTATCGACATTTTAAAACAAATATCTGAATATTCTAATTATTCAAAGCAAGCGATTGGATTCTGAATATTGTACGCTCGGAGTAAAAGCTTTTAGGGTAAGCTTTCAAACTCATCGCGTGAGAGAGAAATGTGTTCTAGATATGACAGGGTATATACATTATAGCAGGGGTCCGCAACTACTTTTTAGCGCGACCCCAAAAAAATTTTCTAACTTCTCGCGACCCTAGCATTTGGTAAACATGTAATTAGTTATCGATTTTAAGACTATTGTCGACACTAGCATTTTTCTTGCACAAAATTATATGGAACTTATCACATAAAATTGTGAATAATAGCGTTTATTTTGACTAATGCAAATTATAAGCTTTGTGTATAATACACAACATATCAAATCGAAGTTTAATTAGGGAGACGGCAACTTGAAGATATTTTTCTAGCCTTGATCTGTAATTTTATGTATGAAAACGCTGATAAGCGGGAAATTAGGCCATAATTTTAGGTATAAATACTACGGGAGGCTCTTGGCTAGTCTTCGAACTGATAATAGGACTAAAATAAGGAAAATTGGATAAAAATTATCGCCTAACCCTAACCTGTTACCCATGTTACGTTCCGATGTCCGCCATCTTGGTTCGCATACTTCGGGAGCACCGTTTTTTTAATGAATTTTGGATGCTTTGCTATAAGATACACGTGAAACCAATATTTATACATTATTCGCTGTTATTCCGCTTATATGTATGGTTTGAGTGATGTATTTCTATTAGATGAGAGTGAGAAGATGAGTCTTTTGTCGGGCGTTGATCCCCACTGCTATAAGTGCTCCGTACGGAGCCTCAGGGCTCCGCGAGCTATTCGTTCACTTAAAAAACTGACTTGGTTAATTTTGTATCTGTGAAGAAGCATTATCGTCACTAATAAAATTTGACGATGGTGGTGTCGAAATGTGGTAGGGATTCAAATATAACATTATCTCTTAACTAAGGGCGCAGCAGCCATGGTTTTCTAAAATGGAGGGGGTTCAGAATAGAAAATTCCCGAGAAACACATTGCTCAATCCATGGCCGACCCGTAAATTTTAAATGTCTTGTCATATCAATTCAATTGTGTTCAACGTTGCTCGCCTTTGAGTTGACTAATATAGCTACTACGGCAACCATGAAATACTTATTAAACCGTCTACTAGCAATGAATGGATTGAAATCGTATTTTTGAGTTGCTCTTTCAGCACTTAGGATTATCGCAATGTTTCGTTGTTAAGGGAGAGATTGCAGATATGAAGCCAATTATATTTGATACCTTCATATCGAATTCGGTCTATGCATAAATGTATCAGTGATTTATAGATGCAGTGATGGGACAATTATCGGCTGACACAGTAAAATGATCAAACTTTCATTCATTGAAGGGTTTAGATCAGGGGTCGGCAAACTACAGCCCGCTTCACTGAATTATATTAACAAAACAGCTTTATTGACGAATATATTCTTTACGTGACAAAATTTGTTTTGAGAAACTAACTTATACTCTAACCTAACAAGTATATAATTCACAATCACTCGTTTAATGAGCTTATAATTGATTATAATTAGAGAAATGGCAACAGAACGTAAAAAAGTTTATGCTGAACGCAAATGGTTTAATGACGCTGAAAATATTCAAATGATCAGTCTTCGCGCACTGCTTGAAATTTCTGGGTGAAAAAATGTGATTCATTGGCCATTCCTTTGGTTTTTAACTTTTTAAAATACGTGCGGCCCGCCAATGACTTTCAACCTTTATTTTGGCCCGCGAACGACAACGGTTTAGCCTTAAATTCTAATTACGCCAATTAAGCAAAATAAAATTCAAACATCTACAGCCACAATACGGTACTCCCGTAGTAAGCGAACCGAGATGGCGGACACCAGAACGTAGTATGTGTACCAGGTTAGGGTTAGGCCATAACTTTAGGTACAAATATTGCGGAAGTCACTTGGCTAGTCCCAAACTTGTAATAGAACTAAAATAAGGGGAATTGGAATAAAATTATGGTCTAACCCTAACCTGGTAAACATACGACGTCCCGGTGTCCGCCATCTTGGTTTACATATTTCGGGAGTACAAACGTTCTTCAAAGCGTTTTGGTGGTAAAATGTGTGATGCTAGAAAATTTCTTAGTCGTTGAATATATGTCGCAGCTTTTTCTTCCTATACTTTCTAAAACATCTGCCACGATAAAAACAGAAGATCCGAGGCTCGACTGCGGCTTTATTCTTATTTTAAAAACAGCAATAAATCAACTTAAAGTGAAATAAGTTCAACATAAACTACCCACACGAAACACAAAACTCGACTGTGCGTCACCGCCCCGAACGTGGAAGACGATGCCTTCTCATTCTCGCATTCGGGATTAATAATTACGCAACACAACAATAAAGCATTACTTAACACAGCAATAACAAATTACAAATACAGGAAAACAAAGAATCATGAACACGCGGAAGAATACTGTCACATATACATATCTACAGTAGCCACGCAATGTCAGATCAATGTGGGTTAAAGACGCGAAAGAAAAAAGTGTCCACCAAAAGAAGATGGGAATGCCGCGTCCATTGTGGTCGCATATGTAGCAGTGTCCTAGGGCCGACTTTGTATGAAACTATGGGCGGGGGAATACTAAAAGAAAATGAGTACCCAGTGCAAATAAGTGGAATACTATACAATACTGTGCGATTTCGTTTTCTTATTTTCGTAATTGTGGTCGCATAAGTAGCAGTGTCCAAGGGCCGACTTTGTTTGAAACTATGGGCGGGGGAATACTAAAAGAAAATGAGCACCCAGTGCAAACAAGTGGAATCTTATACAATACTGTGCGTTTTCGCTTTCGTATTTTCATTATAACACGCATATGATGCATTTGTTATTTTCAATCTAGGCTTATTAGTTATTGCCTCTGAAATCGATTTTTACGTCACAAGCTAAATTCATTATTGATTATACGTCACAGTAAAGTAGATCCAAGGCTGTTATCTGTTATTTTGAGGCAGCATCGGGTCGATCTGCGCCTATAATAAGCTTTATATAAGAAATAATACAGGAAAGGAATACAGCAGGGGTATGCAAAGTTTTTTTTGCAAAGGACTTATTCAGAAATTGTGATGAAGTATCTAATTTTTCAAAAGGCCACATCATAGAGTTACATTTAGTTAAAATTTGGGTGCTCCCGAAGTATGCAAACCAAGATGGCGGACATCGGAACGTAACAGGTTAGGGTTAGGCGATAATTTCTTTCCAATTTTCCTTATTTTAGTCCTATTATCAGTTCGAAAACTAGCCAAGAGCCTCCCGTAGTATTTATACCTAAAATTATGGCCTAACCCTAACCTAGTACACATATTACTTTCCGATGTCCGCCATCTTGGTTCGCATACTTCGGAAGCCCCAAAATTTGATATGTAAAACATCCCAAATTGAAGATTTTTTAAGAGGGAGAGAGTTATTTATTTCATTCGTCAAACCATAAAATACACAATATATATATGCAAACTCAAACATATATATATATAAATAATAAATAGAGATACTTTGGTGTATGACTTGGAGGCAACGATACGACCTTTTGGGGTCATTAGAGTCTATTGCCCCCCTTACTATGATATTATTAGTAATAAAATGATTCAACAGGTTCGGTGTTATAAGTTGATAATGAGACACAATTTCAAAGAATTTGGGCGTCAATTCTTGAGAAATAAAAAGTGCTGTATATATATATGCGAATTGTGAGTTCGGACGCTAAAGCTTGAAAAAATATAATTACACCAGGATGACTCGGCCTTTAAACTTGTAAAATTGAAGTTGAGTTAGTCCTGTCTGGTCGTAGGAGGTCCTTCTGGTTCAGATACCTCGTTTTGAGTCGAAAATCTTCAACGTTCTGATTTTCTCGACTGCCTATTAAATTGACATATCACTCAAGTTCGATTGGTTGCTTGATTCCTGAAATGTTGTTGTATTGTCCATTAACTTGATTACTGATTAATTTCATTTCCATTTTGATTGACAGCATATATTAGATGACAAAAAATCGACCGACACAAATTTATTTGACAAAGTTGAGTAAATCATCACCAATTAATGTTCATGAAACAAATTTTCACAACATTCTCCCGATGGCTGAGGCCCACAAAATGTCCATGCTTCCGAAAACAAACAATACAATAAAACTAATCCCATACCCGACTTGGAATGGTAACCGGACGAGAGGCCGTGGTTCGCCATGTGGATAAGCCGTCTTATCGGCTTTCCTCCCCCCGGGATAAATATGTAAATCCTATCCTAAAATGCTTTGGTGATGCGCGTGAGGCATTAGCTTGTACAACCCTGGAATAGAGCATGCAAAACAAATGGGAGAGGCGAGCAAAAAACTCTTTGAATATAAATCTGTGGTTCATTGGTTTGAGCAAATGTTCCACAATTTTATAAACTAACGAGGTGATTACTTTGTTTCAATACAAATTACGACCGAATGAAAAAGAAATTTGGCTGTATTCAGGATAGGAAAGCCGAAATGGGGGCTTAACCATACTTCAAACCACGGCCTCTCGTCCGGTCACCAGTAGGGCTGGGCATTTCGAATCGAACATTTGAATCGAATAGTAAATTATTCGAATCGGATCAGAGCAAAATTTCGAATCGCCGACATCTTGTTTTCTTCTTACCGCCAATGGTCATATTTTTTCAACGCAATTCTCACACATGACTATTTTCTGTCGTGAGTTTTTGATAAAACGTGTTTGTTATTGTGTGTGGACAGTGGACACTCAGTAATCTACCTGAGTGACGTATTGTATGCCTTCAGTAATTCATTTGTTGAAAGAACCAATTACAATAAAATAAAAGTCGCTTTCAATTACATATTTACAAGTATTCGAAATTCGATTCGAACAAAATATTCGATTCGATTCTGAAATCACAAGGTATTCGAAAATGCCCAGCCCTAGTTACCAGTTCAGGTCGGGTATGGGAATTGTAAAGCAGCTGTTTGTTTCAGATGCATGGACCTGATGGCGGAGTAAGCCGTAACCGACCAGCGGTTACCACAATATTAACGCCTGATTACGACAAGGATAATAATTATAATTTAAGCACATTTAATCGATGAAATACTCGGGTTCACTTTTGCGCATATATAAGCTTAAACTCAACTGGTTGGCCGATTAAGCCAGTACAGCCAGTCAGAGTTGATAATTTATATCATCAAGTTCTAATTGCGGGCAGATAAAAAGCATTTCTCTAGGA